AAGCAGGATATTTAGTTTTATATGACCTTGGTGTGGTGGCCAGGGTGATATTTACCAATGTTTCTGGGAACTTCTTCTTCTTCTATGGCTCTCCGGTCCATATTCGGTCCACAGCCTCCTCAATTGTCCTCTTCCATTCGGTCCTCTGTTAGGTCCATCTGTCCGAGGCTTTGATCGAGGTTTCGAAACATCTTCCTTTTTACAATGCAAGGTTGTTAGCCTTGTGACCAACCCCCAACCTGGAGGACCAGGGTACCTGTCTTAGTCTGACCTCTCCCCCTCGACCAATCAGTGATCCCAAGAGCTATGCTGGCGGTAGCATAGCTGGGTACTACACAAATGCAACAAAATGCATGGCAGCTACACAATTCTGGGGGAAAGATATGTGTTTGCAAAAGCTTTTACATTGATATAATTCAAAAAAGCTACACAGTGTTCCTTTTAAGTTACTAAGTACTGATAACTTTATAACCTCAAAGTGTAGGTGTATATTTCATGTCACCATTTCCTTTGCTACTGTCCCATATTTAGGAGAACTGATAAAAGTATGTATAGATGATATTACAAGTGATTAATACACAAACAAATCTTTTTAATGTGAGGCTTGACCACCAGATTTTAATGAAATCCATAAAGCAATCTCAGAGATGTGCAAACAAATGGACTGACAATCATACAGCCACGAACCCTCTATTATATATTCTTTTTATGTGAAGGAAACATAAAACAAGAATGATGAAAGAAAGATTTAAAGTAGAGCAATAAGCATACAGCTGACAGTTGCTTATCATTTGTTTGTTGTCTTCACGTAGCATGTGTGATAATTTGGTAGTTCGTGCTTTCAACCCACTGCTTTACCCGGACATTCTGTTTCGCTTAAGCTCTACTGGGAGACAGCATGACAGGAATCTAGTTACCCTACATGGCATGACCAATAAAGTGATAAAGACACAAAGACAGAAGAGTTTTCAGGAATCAGCAGTAGCTGATGAAGTTAGCAATGACACAGGTGAGAAGAAGTACAGCCAATTTCTCATATTACCTCTCTCTTCTTTCCAGATCTCCACCCCCACAGAACACTGCAAGCCCTTAGAAACACATTTATTCTTTATTACAATTGTCATTGAAAGGTAGATTCCAATATCTTTTTAAATATATTGAACTTCATGAATACTTATAAACATGTGCTTTGTTTACAAAACTTAATTAAAACTCAGCAAAGTTTGCCATATTTAAGAACATAATTCTCAGGTTCTTTTTGGTGAAATACTGACAAGACAATAAAACTTTCATAACCACAACACACTAAACATAAATCAGAGAGATAGGTTTACATTTTCCATCAGAAAACCTCATATAATTCCTGTATCAAATGAATAATAATATGTAAGACTACACAGCGCAACAACCTAGAAGACGGAAATCTTCAAATAATAATATATTTTGTTTGTATCAAAAAGAAACAGACCAGATAATGTTTACTGACTTTAATGATATACCAAATCTCAAGTTCAAAAATATTTCCAGAGAAATTCAGTAACTGTAACATAAATATATGTAATAATCAAAAAAAAGAAAAACACCAAAATAGTTGACATGAGATATTCCTTGCACAATTTTCACTCCACAGTTGTTAGTTGTTTTTCATAAGCATTAGAATTAAGCCAGTAAGTAAAATACTTCCTCATAAAGTGCCCTACCCTTACCTGATGGACTGATTTAATGGTTGATTCTTTGGTCATTCAATTATACTTTTTGAATGAAGATCTAATATAACACAGAATGACATGGAAAGATCAAAAATGATGAATAATAAATAATGTAGAAGCAGACAGTCATAATCCATTTCAAAGTACTACTTAAATACCTCCTGAATAGAAGTTCAGAGCGATACTTCTACTACACCAACCTGATCAGTCTTACCTGATGAAAGCCTCTGCTGAGACCAGCATTGAAGCGGTTCTCTTTAACTTCATTCTCAAAGAACCTTGTATCCACTTCACCAAGGATTTCAGACTGAGTGTCAGCCCTAAATTCCACCATATACATGCCAGTATTCCTGAAGACAGGATTGTATGCAATCCTCATGCGTTTTTCCATCCCTCTAATGGATATGAGGCCACTCTTACACTGATTGTCTTCGAACACATTATGTGTCAGGTTTAATTGTGCAAAATGTCCATCCACCACTAATCCAAACTTTTTATTGTTCCTCCATGTGTTATTTTTTAGATAAAGGATGTGTGTGAAATTTTCATTGTACTGCCACATATACGGCAGTGAAACATCAAACCCACCGCCATTGTTCCGTTCAATTGTATTGTCTTGGAGGATCCAGTGGAATAAGTTGTTGGAGCTGCGAAGATCTCTAAAACACATTACCATATATTATTAACTACATGTTGTTCTTCTTGTCCTGTCATGAGAATAACTCGTGTATTTTACTTTTCCACCTGAAAATAAAGGACATATGAAGCACAGTGAATGTCAACAATTTTACTGCTTCCTCCCATCAATGCTAACAAAGTTCCCTTGTATCTATTTTATTCACAAGTTTTTAAGATTTCCAACATAATTTTGCACAATGCTTCTTTTTCAAGAAATGTTATTTCTACACTTAGCAAGGGGACAATACATACTAAAAATTTCCATGCACCAGAGTCCTTGGAATGTGCCTTCAAAGGGACCTTCTAGATATCTCTGATGTTTCTATTTGCTGTGATTAATTATAAAATTTTGACAGTCACTTCATTTATTTTCCTTTCTGCTTCTCTCATCGTAAATTCATAAAAGTTTTTAACAATATCCAGCCTCTGATGTCTTTGTGAATGTATTCTTGACCAAGTCTGTGGTATCTTAAATGACAATGGATCATTTAACTGTTAGATCAAATCTTGCAACACATCACACTCTCATGAATCACAGAGTAATGACAATGTCAAATGAGTGAGAAGTCACAATATGAGACTAGTGAAAAGGTGTTAATGCTCAGTAGTAGGTCTGCTGGTTGTACATAAACAGGGTATCTCAGTGACCAAGAACCACTGCATCTGCTTGAACTCCCAATTCATTATGTTTCTGATAGAAGGATTGTGAAATAATATTCACATACTGCTGTTAATTGACTGACATAAAATATTTTTCTTCCCATAATTTTAACACATCACAGACCAACTGTCTGGTCATGTAACAAACCACAACTCCTTACTTTGCTCATTCACAAATACCACCCAGGTATTCAACAGGCACACCAATTTAAATGCAAATTAAATTGAAACACTGATGCGAGGAAACCCTGGTGTGTACGAACGAATTTGTCAGTCTTGTGTATGTCGTGCTAATGCATGTGTGGAGAATGGAGGAACAACCTTTGAGCATCTGTTATGAAGAAACATCCCTGTCCTTGTACTTGGCAATTAAGGCATACATTGAAAATAATTTTTTGCTAATATTTCAAAAATGAAACATTTGTGACCCCATGTTCATAGGAACATTTTTACTTATTTTTGATCCTGGAACATGAACACGAAGTTTGTAAACATACTTCTGATTCATCCTGTATAGTTCACACAATCAAGAATCACCCGCACATATATTATCTATTGCAGGAGGTGTCAGGCAATTCATCTGCATTGACATATTGTCAAGACACACAATTAATTTCACTGCTTGGCATGTGAAGGCATCTGTACTATGAAAAACTTGGCATCAAGACAAACAACTTAAGCCAGTATGAAGATGCACTTCAGGCTCACAAGGAGGGAACAATTGCAAAGGCTATGTTTAAGTTGGAGAAGCAGTAACACAGTGTTAGAACTCTTAGCTGTAAGAGCCTGTAGACAGTAATGGAATTACTGTAATTTCATCACAACTTTATTCATTTAATTATGCTAAAACAGCACACACATTGCGGCACTATGACACCATTTGCAATGTCCATTCATTATTACCATCAACACATCTGTTATAGATTTCAGTGCATTTTAGTATCTAATAAGCAGAAAGCCTCCAAATCTTTCTAGAGGGAACAAAGTGTAACACATCATCGTCATATTAAGTTCTTGCATCCAGACCTTCTAAGAAACATAAAATTGTAACACTTAAGTAAATTTAAAATGAATACAGAGAGGTATATTTACTATATTGTTGGTATTAAGTTTTAAGTTATGTACTTTAGGTTATATGGTTTTGTAATCTTATGAGTTGTTTTATTTTTTGTGTGGTGTGTTGTTTTGTTGTGTCTTATTGTTTTTATTGTATATTTTTTTGTGTCTTATTGTTTTGTTCTGTCTCACTGTTTTGTTGTATCTCATTGTTCTGTTGTGTCTTATTGTTTTGTTGTGTCTTATTGTAGGACCACTGCCACCAGGTAAAAACCCATTTGCAGTCAATAATAAATAATAATATACCAATATTAATATAAAAAATACCTGATCACTTAAAGCTTCTAAAAAGTAATGTTAATTCTGACCAGGAAGTGAGTAGTCAGAAACAGAGATTACTAGACCTATTGCCCTCTTAATTAAGTATATGATGTATATTGTGTCAGCAAGCACTGTTTGCTTCACAAGCATTATTTATTACAAGTGTTCACTGTGCATTCATCTTATGTATTAACTCACATGTTCCTGAGTGTCAGCTGCAGTTTCTTTCCAGTTATTCGACCCACCAAATGTCTGCCTCTGCCTCTCAGCATCATTACTTTACTACTTATGATCGGAGTGACCCTTGCCCCTTTTAACCTTTCTCAACACCAAGATATATATCAGTAACTATTCCTTCTAAAGAATGATCCCCATAACATTTGTTTTGTTTCTATTCTTCCATCCTTTCTTGTTCTATTCCTGAGAAGGTTAAAACATGGTGCCATAGAAAACAAAGCATGTTACCTCAACTACAGTAATTTGCTGACAATTCAAGTGGATTGAAAATTGTAAAGGAACTGTTTCTGAATGTTTTGCGTCTTACTCTGTTGGATACAGCCTGTGCAGAAAGGAGTTCTAACTGCATTAGTTTTCTTATATGTTTTGAAAGAACTTAAAAATTATAAAAATGGGCAAATATGTAGCATTTTATGAAAAATGTTTATAATCGTGTGTATGTTTCACTGGCAAATAACAAAACATCATTTATTGCATAGATTCAAATCAACTATTAATATCATAAGTTGAATTACAAAGGCACAACATCTGAAAACCGGAGCTGAAATATCTCTCATCACATCCAGAACCTCAGCACAACTGAGAATTTCCTCTTCATTACAACCCATTAGGTATCAGGACTGGAGCTAAGGGCAAGCCTGCAATATCAATAACAAAGGTCAAAAAATTATCAAATAAATTCAGATATAGTGGAACATAATTAATATGGTGTTTAAGAGATAAATAACGATATCTTATTAAGACATGATTATAAAAGTGTACAGGTAGCCCTCGATTTACGCCGGGGATGCGTTCTTGGACGAACCCGCGTAAAATTAATCTGCGTAAATTGAAACTCTTTTATAATGTAAATCAATGACATGCGTTCCCAGCATCCAAACTTTGACGAGTAATATAATGGCATTACATTTAAAGCTCTGAAATAACGTAAATAAAATAAAGGGAATTTAAAAAATATATTTTATACGCTTACAATCGGCAATTCGTTGGTCCCCGCCATTGACTGCGATTCTTTCATGTGACTGATGTGTACAGTCGTCTCTGCTGTTATGCGATAGTTGCATTCATGTAAGACGCCGGCCTATAGAAAATAGCGTAGTAAAAATAACCCCGGTACCTCCGCAGAAACTAAATTAGTCCTTTGAAAGTTTAAAGAATGGAATTTCATAAGAGCAAACTCGCATATGGAAAAGTTTGCATTTCACAAACAGCTTTTACCGATTCATCGATCTCATTGGAGTAAATTCGCGTTAACGAAACATACGTAATTGCAGAGATGACTGTATTTATAATTTTTATTCAAAATCAGCGATGGAAGAATTACGATTTAGTATAAGAATCAGTACGATATACAGTGTAAAACGTTATAAATAATAGTAAAATATATTTTTTTCACTTTTTGACTTGCTGGTTTCAAAATCGGAGTTATTCTGAATCGGCGAAAATTGAACCGGCGCAAATCGAGAGTTACCCGTATTTTTGTTTAAAATGCAGACTAGGCCCATGAAAATTAAACAAATGTCTTCATTATGTGTAAAATCCAGCAGTGAACCTGAACCTGAATTAGCTTAATGTAATTTACATTACCAATACCAATTTATTAAGTCCTCTTTTACCACTGCATGGCACTTCCTCTGGTTGCAGAAAGAGAAGGCATCCAGAAATGGAAGGAAGCTGGAAATCAGGTGGGATGCTAACAAATCAGCACCATAATAGGACTAACATATTGGCTCTCAGAGGGCTGTTACACCATGGATTATTATTTATACAGGGCTAATTTTTTAATCATCTGAGCGTGCTGTCGCCCTTCAAAGAGACTGCTCCAAGAAGTACAAAGTTTTCTGCACATCTTCATCTCTATTTTCCAAAAGGTTTCCTTGACAAAATTCACAACCTGTTAATTCTCGTGAGCTGTTCTTCTTTCAAGGGCTTAATACGTAAGTACAGTGCTGCCAATGCGTATGTTAAGCATTAGCAGACTAAGAGCCAGTTGACAGTCTGACTGCATGCAGCCTTTGTAATAACACTGCAACTGGGAAGTCTCATTCAAAGATCAGGGTCTGGAATAAGGCATGGGATGAAGGAAACAAGAAAGAATGAAGAATGTTAGAAAGCAAGGAACGAAGAAAGCACTCCTGCTTGTATATTAAACTGATGTTTGCAATCAAGAGACTATAATAATGGGACTGTGTACCAAAGAATTTTAAGGCAATGAAAATTGATTTTGTACATGCTGTGTTATCTTTATCTAATTTCCTATCCTCATAATCATCAACCAGAAATTAGGTCTTGGGCACATTGTGATTCAGAAGCAACCTTCAACTCTGCGACTGAACGACTTGCAGGCCTATATTCATAAATTATTTTAGTTATCTTACTGTGCGGATGTTGACAGAGGTTGAAGGTGCTGTTGCCATGAAAATGTTGAGTGTCTGCGAGAGACATAAAAGACTCAAGGTGGGTCAGGTGAAGACAATCCTTCAAGCTTTCTGTCTTCTGGGTTGTTGCGCTGTATAGTCTGGTCGATGGTTATCAACATTTCAGAGGTCATACTGCCTCCGTCATCGCCCTGATGACAGAGGCAGTATGACCTCTGAAACGTTGGTTAACATCGACCAGACTACAAAGCGCAACAATCCAGAAGACAGAAATCTTCATACTCATCGCTGTGAAAACCTCAAATCTTACATAGCTATACCTTGTTGACGTGTGATCCAAATGTAAGGATTGGAAACATGAAAGTAACTGATATTATTGTGCCACATGCCAAGTTACGCAACGGACAAATTGGTGCTGGCGGCTAACTCCGAAGTCATCTGCACACCTGAGTACGATGTTTAAGACAATTATCTCTTAATTATGTATTTCCTCCTACTGTGAAACTATCGTTAAAATTCAGGGTGGAATGCCCTTTGTATACTGATACCTGTAGTACCTCTTAGTATTATACTTTTAGCCCCATTGTTGTTCTGCCCAGTGTTTCTTTCCTGTCCCTTACACACGTCTCCTTAGCTTTTCTCACCCAACCTTGATGTCGTATTCTTCCTAAAAAGTCATACTAATCCAAGACTAATTGGGCCAAATGGGTCGCTGAAAATATGCCGTTAAAGGAGAACGAAGATAAAAGTGGTATCGAGCAAAGGATTTGAATTGAGCGCACTCTGTTCGCACTGACATCTCTGGTGAGAGCATACAAACAGTCCAGAAGTGTTTTGGCGGTTGTGTTGGCGTTGTTTATTACGAAAAAGAATTACGTTGTAGGCGCATGTCTTCTAAGTTAGCAGATTGCGCGGTAAGTGTAACTGAGTATTCGTTATCCTTAATACAATTGTTAACATTCGAAAGTACACATATATATGTCTATCCTTCAGAATCTGGGTTCAGGCCGGAACAAATATTGCGTTATATTAACCACTGCTGAGGTGCATTTTCTGGTGCTACATTGGCAGTGTGGCAGCATAAAGTCTTTTTTTCAGCCTCTGCTTATGGTCTATTAAGCAGTTTCTGTAGTTGATTTTACCTGGGAAACGTTGTGAGTTCCCCATATTATCAGAGCAGCCATATTTACTTTTCTCTGTAGGTAATAAATGCAAGTTCCTAGTCACGTGTATTTTGTGGTTATGTTTTGTACTTACACATTAAAATACTTAAAATTACCATACAAAACACGGCGAATAAATAAATGCATCTGTTAATTAAAAGCGTTAGCGTTATCTTGGGTTTTGTATAAGGTGGTATTACCCCAGGCACATAGCAGAATTACTCTGTATGCCTGGGGAATTCCGTCAAATGTGTTGGCATAATTTTGTCAAGTTATCGAACGTAGAGCAGAAATGATGCTTTCATATGCTGTTACCAATTCTTCAGTTTTTGGGAAAAGTCCTCTGATGTTCTGATGGAAAACCAGGAGATTTTCTTTCTGGGTGGTCTCTAAGTTTTCGGTTGAAAGGCCTCTAATGTTCTGATGATATAACATTAAATTTTTACTTTGATTGTGAATTAAAATTTAGAACTGGCTTATCTACAGTGACTTGGATATCTTTCAGGAATTTAGTGCTACATTTGGGCTTTAACCTAAAAAAGGCCTAGGTCTTACACCAGTGATTACAGGAATCTTACCAGTATTTGGTTTGCTCCTAATCTCAATGGCAATGAGTTGCACAAGCTTCTCCTTACCCCTTGAGTTCAGGTGCAATCCATGTCTGGCATGTTCATACCTATTCACAGATGACACATCAATTAATCTAATGTGTGATCTGTCCACTTTCCAAAGCGCATGCTCAAGTCTCACATTTGCACTCCTCACCCACTTACTCGTATGAGGCCTGTCATGACGCTCGAGAAAGCCTACAAAACCTTCATTAGTATGTAAGCTGTTAATGGCAATGCTGTCCATATCATTTTCAATCTTGTAATTTAGGTCCCTGTCAAGGCTATTTCCCGGTCCTCCCACTATAATTACACAATCATCCTTAGTGAAATCTTTGCTTAGTGTTTTTAGTTCCCAAACAACATTGCCAAGTGTAGCATTGGGTTTGAATATATTTGTAACCATATATTCATCCCCTAGGACTGAGTGAAGATGTTCACGTAGTACCCTACCATGACTGCTGTCTAAGAGCAGGACCTTCTTACATTTTTTATTCTTAACAGTTGGTTTTGCATCTTTTTCCTTTAACTGAGCAGCACCTGAAGGTTCCGACACAGTTGAAGCCTCAAATTTGTTGCTCAGTTTCACAGTAAAGTTTGAACCCTTACTGGAGCAAAGACTTTTGTTTTTGCGCTGTGATTTGGCCTTAACTTCAGTGGACGAATAGTTATATTTAATAGTAGAGCTCTTATCAGCTTTCAAACTAACAATCTGATCATATGCCAAAGCCAACTCCCTCCACAGACCCAAAATAGTTTCCTCCTGTTTCCTAATTAACCTGGCCTGGTTACACATCAAACAAAACCATGGCTTAGTTATATCTACATTATTAACAGTTGTGTTGGCACATTCCCAGTGGAACCACCAATTACAGTTGTCACATAATATACCTTTACTGACTTTTTTCTGGCAGGAGCCGAACTTGCCTGATAACTCATTAGACCTATTCTTATCTTTCATATCATAAAACTTACTTAAGACTAAAGAGAACTATTAATAACAGTGAACAGATTGGAGATGTTGATCTAACTTATGTCAAGTTATTATATCACACTTGAACACTTCACTGCACTTACACTTAGAATCACAGAGCACTTTAAATGGAATATGCCATTTTACTGCACTTCACTTGAAATCATTTGATTAATTTCTAGGTTAGGCCAAAATTAATTTGATTTATCTGTAGCTTAAAGATATATAATACAATTAGTACAGTAAATAAAGCATAAAACCCAAATAACAACTATAATTTATGACACAGTTATTACAAAAATATGTTACAGTAAATTCCAAACTACGTGTCTGTAAGTGTAAAACTGTTTGCAGCCAATGGCTGATACTTACTTCCCCAACTTTCAACGAAAGTTACTGTTATGTTGTAGTTATGAAAGTACCAAAATAAGCTAAATAGAGAGTTTCACAATATGAATAAAGTACTTATAAAGACAGAGAAACTAATCACACACAGTTGATAACTCAACTGTGAAATTGGATATTTGGGTAAGTTTCCAAATTTATATAAAGCATTTTTTACATTATACAATTATATAATTACAATTAATATTTTATATAAGAAATATGTGTCTGTACAGTAAGAAATGTTTATAATCTACATATATGACATGTCCCCCTCGTCGCTGCATGGCGCGTCCTAAGGTTGCGGATAGAGGGACGGCCTCCAGGTATGGAGGTTAGCTGCGAATATATTAAATAAGCCAGTGGTGGACAGCGTTCGAGGGGTGGTCCTCCAGCTTGGGGGTTCGGCATAAGGCTAACAACTTTTCACCGTAAAAAAAGCATTGTTACGAACAAATTAACTAAGCCTCAGACCAGGACAGACTTTTTGGCATGACCATGGCAATTGAAAAAGGTTATGAGATTTGGAACTTTAAACATTAGGAGCCTCTATAAGCCTGGGGCACTGAAATCAGTGAGTAGGTAATTAGAGAATTATAATTTAGATTTAGTGCCAGTGCAGGAGGGCACGATCCCAGTGGACAATTCCACATTTTTCTATGTAAAGGGGAATGACAGTCATCAGTTAGGGACGGTTTTCTTCTTCTTCTTCCCCATAGCAGAATTAGGGCAGCAGTTAAGAGAGTAGAATTTGTTAGTGACAGGTTGTCTTACGTAATTTTGGAAGGACGTTGGTGTGACATCATTGTCCTTGATGTTCAT